TATGAGTGAGTGAGTGAGTGAGTGAGTGAGTGAGTGAGTGAGTGAGTGAGTGTGAGTGTGTTGGGGTGGGTGGGCTGGTTGAATGGCCTCCTGTGGGGCTGTGATACACTCTGTGAGTGATCTGACTGTGAGCTTAACAAGTTCAGCCTCAACTTCAGACACGGCCACTGAACACGCTCGCTCTCCTCTCCAATACACAGTGTGCCCCGCGCACAACACACGCACACGCACGTACACAGTGTGCTCGCACACACACACACGCACACACACACACGCAAAGCGTGCAGGCGCACACACGCGCACACATAAGCACAGCGCACAAATACACATTAGACTCACAAACACGTAGACACCCCGCGCGCGCACATGCAAACGCAGACACACGGCGTGTGCGCGCACACAGTTGGAACGTGCACAGAGTGCGCGCGCACACAGCACACACATACACACGCGTGGCTGTCTAGGAGTCAGCGTGCACATAGACCAGCTCCAGGCGTCAGGGAAGCCGCCAGTTGCTGACCCCCTTTTCCTGCCGTCTCATCTCCTCTTTGGCACAAATTGAAAACATAATGAAGGTTCTCGGGCAGAATGTAGAATGAGCCCAGGTTTCACCCAGCGTGTGCTCACTGTACAGCACACGCCACACCGTAGCACAGCACACGCCACGCCGTAGCACAGCACACGCCAAATATAGCACAGCACACGCCACGCCGTAGCACAGCACACACAGCACATAGCATAGCACACGCCACACCGTAGCACAGCAAACGCCACGCCGTAGCACAGCACACGCCAAATATAGCACAGCACACCCCGCATATAGCACAGCACGCACAGCATATAGCACAGCACATGCCACACCATAGCACAGCACACGCCACACATAGCACAGCACATGCCACACCATAGCACAGCACACGGCACGCTTGGACAGCACGCCCAGCATGGCATGGCAGTAGAGGGAACGGTGCCAATCATTGGGGGCGGGGAGGGGAGGGGGGGGTGTTCTACGTGACAATATTTCCACGTTTTGAACATGGCTGATGTCTAGACAGGACACATACACAGACACACACACACAGACACAGACACAGACTGTTTCTAAACTGAAAATCATTACTCGCCGCAACCAAATAAATCACGGTGAAGTACGAGGCAATTACCCAGAGCGAGACGGGCCTCTGACCCCAGGCCTGACCAGACCAGCGAGGTTACCGCTCCCCTCGCTGACACCCCCAGGGCACCGCTCTCGCCTCTGGGTCAGATGTTCAGGGGTTCAAGCCCCAGTCTGCTCCAACACAGCGCCGGGTGTGTGTGCGTGCGTGTGTGTGCGTGGGTGTATATCAGGAGGTGCGGGGGAAGGGGGGGGGCATGCGCGGCATTGTGTAGTGACTATCTTATGGAGTCCCGTATCGCAGCGGTTAGAGCACTCGCCTCGCAAGCGAGAGGACCCGGGTTCGATTCCCGGCCGGGCGAGACAGGGCGAAACCTTAGGCAAGTTTCCTTCCGCCACACGCACGCTTCTGCTGACCCAGCAGTGAGTAGGAACCCGGGTGGTAGCGGATTGGCACGGATCACTTTCCGGGGGTAACAAAGCCTCCAAAACAAACGTTGGTCACTCAAATCCACGAGACTGTTTGAGGGACACCGCTGAGCGCAAATGGCTGCCGTGTTTCGCCCACAAAAGTTTCGCCCACAAAAACAGTCAATTCAGCTTTACAGTATATTCTGCGAAGCTCTTTGAGACGTCTCAAAGACGTGATTAGACCCTACATCAAATGCAAGGATTATTATTATTATTTTTATCAGTAAAGAGCGAGTTCCACCACCAATTTGAATATAAACCAGACGGAGAGAGACTGTGGCTCTGGGACTGAACCAGCCAGACTGTCTGGATGGTTACTGAATTATGGATCGGTCTGTATTGTCAGTTTTTGCTGGCTGGCGGAGCAGGTCTTGGTCTCTGATCATTAGTAATAATAGCGTCTGCATCGAGAACGGGAGACCGGCCAAATGGTGACTGGGGTTTGCACTGTGGCTTCTCCCTGGGTCTGGTTGCAATTCATTTCACACGCTCGTCTCACCGCCTTGCTTGTTTGTCTGTTTATTTTTGAGCCCGAGAGAGAGAAAGAGAGAGAGATTACATATGTATACAGGGTGACCAAAAAGTCGTGACGTTTCCCTATTATCTAAAAAGAAACAGAGACTGTCAGAACATTTTGGTCGTTTCGTTACATGTCCCCGTGTGGAAATTGATGACCGCGGCGATGAATAACAACAACAGATTGTTATGTATATTAACACAACTCCGGGCGTTGAAAATTTCCCACCAGCCTTACGCTGGACTAGGAAACGGTACACACTTCACTACTGCAATTTGGCTGAGTGAGTGAGTGAGTGAGTGAGAGTGTCTGTAAGTGAGTGGGAGAGTGAGTGTGTGTGTGTGTGTGTTGTTGGGGGGGGGGGTGCGGTGGGGGGGGGGGTACGGGCTGGTTGAATGGCCTCCTGTCGGGGTTGTGATATCCTGAGTGCTCTGGAGCCGAACGGGTTCAGCCTCAACCTCAGACACGGGCCATTGAACACACTCGCTCTCCTCTCCAATAAAATTGCGTGCTCTCTCTCTCTCACTCTCTCTCCCCCCCTCCCCGTGTTATGGCTACCGTCAAGCGCTCTGGGACACTACCCTGCGTGAGGTGGGGGTGGGGGGTGGGGGGGGTAAATAAACAGGAAACAGCACATAAACATCATCAACCGTTAGCAGTTACGCAAATCCTTTCTCCCAACAGTAAATAAGACAGGACTCGCGAGACGGAGCGGGTCGGTGAAATAGACAAAGAGTGATTGATCGCTCTGGAATCCTATCGCAAGATGCTGTGGGAAGCTCTGCACCTAATGGGAGTGTGTGTGTGTGGGGGGGGGGTGGGGGGTTTGGAGGTGGGGAGGGGGCTTACACCACATCCATCGATAGAGGTGCCCAGCGCTCAGAGGAGACATTGAAGTTCCCCGCCCCCACCCCCGCGCGCCCACGCACGACACACACACGCACAACACGCACAACACGCGCACCACACACAAGCGCAGATCCACAGACACGCACAGTTCCTCTCTGCGTTCTATCAGTCGGATGCCACCGCCCACCCAACAACAACAACAACAACAAACCACAACAAGATCTCCCGTGACGCTGTTCTCTCTCCCGGCGTCCTGGCCGACAATCCCCTCCTCCCCCACCCACCCGATGAAAAGAACCGCTTGTCGGCTTCGTGGCTGTTTGACGAGAGAAGCACACGGTCACCAACTCCCTGGCGTTCTGCCGTTAAGTGTTTTGAAACGTTCGGATGTTACAGGCGCCGTATCAGTTGCAAGAATTGCTGTTAGTAGCCGTCCTTGCGAAATGACCGGATGGGCGGCTGTTGGGGGGGGGGGGTGTGGGGCGAGGGGGCAGGGGCGGGGGAGTGATGGTGGGTGTGGGGGAAAATATGGGAAATTTGGGGAATTTTGTACCCCTCAGTTGGAATCAATCGACCCCACAGCATTCAGTCACTCAATGAATCACTGCCTAAACGCTGGACGTACAGTACACAGTTAACCAGGAGAAAGCAGAGCTGAATTGAATAGAATACAGAGAATAGGAGACACGATTCACCACAGAGTATTGTTTTATACACACGGCACACACACACACGTATGTTTGCGCAGGCAAACAAACACACGCACGCACGCACACTACACGTACACCCGCACGCACACGCACCCACGCGCGCGCGCGGGCGCAGAACACGCCAGCGCAGATACCCATACACACACAGTCCCTGTCTGCGCTCCATCAGTCCGCCCAACGACGACGACGACAACTTGCAGTGCTCACTGCTCACACACCACCACCCCCAACCCCAACCACCACCCCCCCCCCCACCGCTTGCCCCGCCCCAACCCCCCCATTCCACCGCCTCCCTGGGAGGGGGGGAAGAGACGTCTTAGGCTGAATTCCGGATTGGTTAGATGTTGGGGGTTAACCCCCCCCCCCCCGCCACCCCACACACCCGCTCCTCCCCATTTCCCCTTGTCCCCAACCCCCCCCCCACCCCACTCCCACCCCAGCCCACTCCCTGCGCAATGGAATTCCTCAGTGCGGTTCCAGCCGTCACAGAGTTAAACGGCTTTTCTCCCAAAGCAAACTGCTCCTCTCGACTCCGGGGCAATTCGAACGTCGGTTGCTGACCCCAAATTTGCCCCCAAACCACCCCACTCCCACCGCACCGCCCCCCCCCCCCCCGCCCCCCCCACGGCCGAAAAAAATCAATAACATCAACAAGCTGCTAATGAAGCGGCCGTTTCTCTCTCTCTCTCTCTCTCGCTCTCGCGCTCTGTGTGTTGTGCGGTGTTTAACGGGCGGCTCCGTGTCTGCGAACAACTAATTACAATTTGAGAGATTGCTTTGCTCCAGTCACTCGTAGGTGAAAGGTGCCGAGTCCGACACACGTACACACACACACACACACAAAACACGCACACAATACATGCACATAGACACACACACACTGATACACAGCACCTATACACATGCATACATACAGACACACGCACCCACACCCACGCATGTGCAGCACACATACACATCACACACGCACACAGCCAGCACCCGCGCACGCACTCACGCATGCACGCACGCAAGCGCACGCACACACACACACCCGCGCACACCCCCCCATGCAAGTCCACGCGCATACGTGCGCATGCAGGTGCACACGCACGTGCAGCGCACGCACACATCGCACGCACGCGCACAGCCGGCACGCGCACACGCACGCAAGTGCATACACCCACGCAAGTGCACACACCCGCGCACACACCCATGCAAGTCCACGCGCCGACGGGCACACGCAAGTGCACACGCAAGTGCAGGCGCGCGCACATTCCCAATCCCAACACCCCACCCCCCCCACCCGGATTCCCCGACAGGTCACTCACTCTCGTTAAGGAAGGAAGCGGGAACTTACTGGAGTCGTCGGATTCGTATCCCTCCGCCTCGGGCTCCCCCCCCCCCTCCTCCTCCTCGTCCTCCTTCTCCTGCTCCTCCTCCCTCCTGGCGATGGCTCCCGCCGCGGTCCCAAGCGATCCGTCCACTCGGTCCTCCTCCTCCTCCTCTTGGCCCTCTTGGGGCCGGGCGGTGTCGTGGGCGCGGGCGTGGGCGGGGGGCGGGCTGGCGGGGGTCCGGGCCGGGCTGCTGTGGTTGACGGCTGCGGCGAGACCCCGCGGAAAACGAGGGAAGTAGTCAGAGATCTGTTTAATGGGTTTGATGGGACCAGGGCAGACATCAATGGCCATGTGCTCCTGAATACTGATGGTCATTTTCTCACCCTTTCGGACGCTCATGCATGCAACACTCTGGCGTTTTTTTTTATATATATATATATATATATAAAAAATAAAACGAGTCACGGAGAGAGACCGATGACCTGCCAACTGAGGAGGGAGGGAAGGAAGGAGGGAGGGAGGGAAGGAAGGAGGGAGGGAGGGAGAGAGGGAGATGCGGTGAATTTGAAATCAAATGAAGAGCAACAGGGAATCAGTAAGCGATCGGTGTCTCTCTCTCTCTCTCTCTGTCTCTCTCTATCTCTCTCTCTCTCTCTGTCTCGTTATATACACACACACACACGCGCGCGCGCAACGTATATATACACGCACACGCGCGCACACACACACACACACAACACAGCAGCACTCAACGCTCCAGCGTTAGACTACAAGCCTCTCTACTTCGAGTTGTAGAAGCTGTGAACATGCTGTCAGCTCAACACGGCAGCTGCTTATCTGTAATGCTGCTGCTCAGCCTATGAGTGCGTGTGCGCGCGCTTGCGTGTGTGTGTGTGTGTGTGTGTGTCTCTCTCTCTGTTTCTCTCTCCCTCCCTCTCGTCTCTCGGTACGTACGAGAGATTGATCAAGAGGTGGAGACTGTGATGTCAACGGCTAGCAACCAGACAGTAAACAGGACAACACGGGAGCGAGAATACGGTGGGGTGGGGTGGGTTGGGGTGTGAGAGCGAGAGGAAAAAAGGGGAAGAAGGGGTAGATGGCAAGGAGAGGGGAGCGTGTGCGTGTGCGCGTGTGTGTGTGCGGTGGGGGGGGCGGGGGGGGGAGTGTGGGGGTGATGGGGGTAAAAGCAGTCAAAGTCCAGCCACATTAAAATCCTCAGCGACTCAAAATCATTGCCTCAATAAACCTCCCTCCGGCTCGTGACTGACTACCCGTTGCCCTGTGTTGAGTGAACCTAAACTGCAGATTACGGGTTCACGCTAAAGGCTCTGAGTACCTCAAACCGTGGGATTGAGCTCACGCTTGAACGTCTCTCAAAAGAGGGACGGAAGGGAATCACTCGACCAACCTGATTCGCAACCCCATCCCCATCCCCGCCCTCCCCCCACCCCAACCCCAACCCAAACCCAAACCCCTGGCGCCGAAGACAACAACTGCTTACAACAATTAATACGACTAATAATAATCCTTTTGCATTTGATGCAGCTCCTCATCGCGTCTTCGAGACGCCTCGAAGCGCTTCGCGGGGCGCCCTGCGAGGCGAACAGACTGCGCATTTTGTGGCGGGCGAAACGCGGAAGGGCCATTGCGCGGAGCGGCGTCCTGCGCGGCGCGGCGCAAACAGTCGCGGATTGAAGTGACCGATTTTATTATTGCCGTTGTATTTTTTGGGGGGCGGGGCGGGCAATCTGCCGTGATCTAATCCGCCACCGGTGTTGAACGGCCTCCTGCGCGGACGCAGACGGTAACATGACGCACGGTTTGTTAATTTCCTGGTGATTAGCTGCACTGTCAATATCAGTTTAGCACAATCCAGCACAGCGCTGCCTTACACACCAACACCGACCCTCGCTGGTCACGGATTATCAAATCACATTAAGCTGTAATATGCCAAATATATATATATATATATATATTACAAGGAACAGAAGGGGAAGCGGTTTAGAAAGGAAACAATCTAATCTGCGGCTTCTGCCAGCAATAAGCTACTTGACCGACCTCTCGTGGTTGATGATTTAAAACTGAACTCCCTCCTCCCTCCCTCCCCCCTTCCCCGCAGTTGCGTTAAGGAGTCCGGGTCCTGTTATGCGATGGAGAGAGAGAGAGAGAGAGAGAGAATGAAATGGAGAGACCAATAAAAGCGCACGAGGCGGATAAACCCCGACTTCGCATCGCTCGTGCTGACGTGTCGGGATCGTGACCGCAACAACAACAACAACAAACAAACAAACAAACAAACAACAAAGGCAGCAAAACAACGCCTCATCGGACGGTCGCGGGTTTCGAGCCCCCATGACGGGGACTTTGAGCTCGCAGTCTAGGCTGACGTTCCAACGCGGTGCTGGGGAGGGGGTGGGGGGGGGGGTGGGGGGGGGTGGGGAGAGAGAGACAGACAGCGCTGCTTTGCCAGAGGCGCCGTCCTTCGGAGGAGGCGTTAAACCAAACTGTGCCCCGTTCAGGCAGATCTTAAAACGTCCCATGGAGCTACGGGGAAAAGAGAAGGGAGCTTCTCTCTCCCTGGTTGGTGCCCTGGCCGACAATTCCCCCTCACTTCCCCCCACCCCCCCCCCCCCACCCCGGGATAAAATCAACCATTTGTTTCCCGTCGTTGTTGTGCCCCTCCCGCCCTCTCTCTCTCTCTCCCCCCCCCCCCACCCCCCACACAAAATACTCTCATTTCAGAGTATGTGTTTAATGCGCTCACTGTAACTGAGCTCAAAACAAGGTCAATACCTGCCAGGGTTTAGCGTAGGGTTGAGTGATTGATAGACAGAAGCCAACAAGAAACAAACAGAAATGGGAAGTGAAGTTATCGGACCGTATGCTCAAAATAAAATAGGGGCGGGGGGGGGGGGGGCGGGGGGCGTGAGAGGGAGCAATATAACACTGGCACCTGTGTAACACCCCTCTTACACAATTAACTGCATTAATGATAATTAATACAATTAATGAAAAGCCTCCCGTTTCGTGTACGTGACTGTGCGCGTGTGTGTGTGTGTTGGGGGGAGGAGGGAGATATGGGGGTGGTGGGGGCGGAGGGGGGGGGTGGTGGGGGGGGGGTGGGTGGGAGAAAGAGAAAATAAATTTGTCGCCAAGTGTTGTTGTTGATCTCAATCTCTCGGCCCCACACCTGATGTATTCCGCACGTAACCAATAAATCCCGAGTTACCGGCGTTATCTAATGTGTCACCAATTACCAGGAAGCTTTTCTGCGCGTCGAGACGGCAGCGGAAATTCCCGAAGGTTTAATGGCAGCCATAAAACGAGAGTCCGAAACTAAAAGCCTGGCAATAATTGAGTTTATATAAAATGGATTTGTAATAATCTCCGAGACAAAGACAACAGATGCCGTGGTGTGCGCAGGCCTTTGGGCTGCACAGCATCATATTGTTTTCTGCTCCAAAACACAACCCTCGTGAGCCCTTCGCTAAAGCCGGCTTTTCAATGCGGATCGTGCTCTGACATTCCTTCCGAGAACGATCCATGTTCTGTTATTTAATAATAATAATAATGATATTAATAATCTTTGGACCCCGAGCTTGGGTGGCGGGGTGGAAATGGGGGGGTTTCAATGGGGAGAAAAAAAAGGTCACTATAGAACACGAGAGGGGAAAAAAAGGCTAAAGAACAATATAACAATAACAGTTTACGTTTATACATTTATACTGCGGCTTTCATTCCAGGTCTCGACGCGCTTCCCAACCTCCCGACCGGGAGCCGGAGTTTGGGGAAAGGGGGAAGAGAGGCTGAAAGCATGGGACTTGGAATCAGATAGTCTAAGCTAATGTTCCGATGCAGTGCTGGGGGTGGGGGGGTGACGGGGGGGGGAGGGGGGGTGAGGGTTTGCATTGTCGGAGGTGCTGTCCATTAGATGAGAAGTTAAACCGAGGTTAAAGGGCTGTTCGAAAAGATTCTCTCTCGGTGGCCAACAATCACCCCAAATAAAAATTGGTCCCTCACTCCACGGCTGTTTGTGGGTCACTGGCTGCCCCGTTTCGCCCACCAAATAACGGTGCCAGTGACACACGGTCACTGCACTTGACAGTAAATCCCGTGAAGCGCTTTGAAGCCGTCTCGACGACGGGTTAAGGCGCTGTATCAAATGCGAGGATTATCATGATTGTCGGTTGAGAGAGATGTCCTGAGGTGTGATTTCAAAGGTGGGGAGGGAGGGAGGGAGGGAGGGACAAGGGAGGGAGAGGCGAGGAGGATGCTGCAGCACAGGGAAAGGAAGGAGCCACGGTGCTGGGTATACGAAGGCAGTGTGAAATCGCTTCGCCCTGCTGATTATGTAAATACGCCGCTCACAGCAATTTAACTAATGCAACCAAACCAATCGCTCGCACATCAAAGCACCGCGTCAAGTGCTTTCTCCTTCCTTCCCCCACCCCAACCACCACTCCCCCTTCCCCCCCCCCACCCACCCCCCCCGTCCTTCGAACCACCATAGCCAGCCGGCCTCGCTCTCCGCACTGCAAAGTGTTCGGCCGACGCACGGAAAAAAACGAAAAGATGTGAAGCTTTTGTGTTGTGGCGCTGTCGGGGTCTCGCCGACTGCAGAGAGCAACGGACGAGGACCTGGGTTTTTTTTTCTCATCCTAACCGCGACACCTTCGATAATCCCCCCACCCACCGACCACCCACTCCCCACTTCCCGAGACTCCTCCCGAAGTGAAAGGTGCTGCGTCGGATGGAAAGATTGGAGTCCTGTAGCCCAGTGGTTAGCGAGAGGAGAATGGGTTCGATGCCTGGACGGGTCGAAACCTTAGGCAAGTTTCCTTACTCCACCCGCCACTGTTTGCCCCGGGGCGAGTAGGAACCCGGTTGTTAAGTCGATTGGCGGATCGCTTTCCGGGGGTAATAATCCCTTCAAAAGAAAGCATATAATAATTCGGCAGCTCAATCAAACGACTGTTGGCGGGGGAAACTGCTGTGCGCAGTTGGCTGCCGCGTTTCGTCCCCAAAAATCCACTGAGACGTCTCGAAGAGGTGATAGGGCGCTACATCCCACGCGAGGATTATTAATATGATTATCGTCAGATTAATTTTTATTGTTGTTAAGATCAGCCAAACAGCTGTGCGGTTCTGTGGGGGTTAACGGCTCGGCAGGATGTGTACAGAAGCTCGGTGTTGCTAAGTGGTTCGTAATTAAGACAATTTTGCTCCAAAGCATTATTTCCCGGCCTCTAAGGACTCGCGCAAACGTCTACAGATTAATCGGCTTCCTCATTCTGACAGCTACAAATACAGATTATTTCGCTTTGGGCTCAATAAGTGCATCACTTCAGGACTCGATTATGTTTCTGATCACCAGCCCACACCCCCCCAACCCCTCCACACTCCCCCATCCCCCCCTCCCCACTCCCCCTCC